TAGACTTGCCTAGGGTCAGATAATTTCATACCATTAATCTCAATAAAATCAAAATAATCTAATTGACCCTTTTCTACAGATCTTTTTAGACATTTCACAATTTCATTTACAGTAGCAGTTTTTCCTGTACCTGGGACACCACTTATATAGATACATCTGTAATATTATTCATATATAATATTACAAAAAAGTAAATGCAAATTAAGAAATATTTATTAAAACAAACTTACCCTCCATTTTATCCATTAATTTGCTTTCTACAAATGTATAAATATTATTAAATTGTTCTTCCCTGCAAGGTAGTGATTTTGGTACTGCACTAACATGTAATTTAGTTCTGACTTCTTGTAATAATGTAACTGATTTAGCTGGGATATTAGTTCTCATTTTCATAGTTGGTGTCAAAATATTTCGCTTGAATGATGTACGTTGAATATTTAAACCATTCTGCATTACTAATGATTTGATAATATTCTTTTTATTATTTGTATTATTTTTTTGACTAGTTTTCATGGACAGATCTTTATCAACTTGACCTGTAATTTTAATCCTATCAATTTTGCTCTTTCCAACTTTGTATATCATTGATTCATCTTTATTAGATATAGTTAAAATACTTTTACAATCAATTCTTGATTTTTTCGAAGTATTATCCAATGAAATATTTTGTGTTGTATCTTTGGGATATGCTCTTTTTGGTGATATTTTATCAACATTATCTTTTTTTAATTCTTCTCCTATTAATGTATATCTTGAGAATTTAGTTCTATGAATTTTAGGAGTAGCATTACCTCTGTTGATATCTTCTATGGAATAAACATAATTCTGCTTTTTAATTTTTGATGTACTTGTGGATGGTGATTTTGGAATAAAATTAATACAAATACAATTTGAATCATCATCAATCTGTATTGCATGTTTGTTAATTTCTTGTTTTCTTTTATCAATAGTATTTAAAGAATCAAAAAATAATTCCTCTTCATTATAATTCATCTGATCTCTTTGTAAAATAGATACTTCTGATTTATAAGAATCACATTCATAATCTGAATATCTTTTAGGTAATTTTATAGCTCTTGCACCTTTATGTGACATTTGATTTTCATCTTGCAAGTTTTTTAATTTCATACTTCTAGTTAATCTCTTAGGTCTTTTATCTTCTGATTCAGTATCAATTTTATATACACTTTGTTCTGTAGAACGTCTTAACTTTAAACGTAGAGAAGTTTGTTTCTTTTGTAATACATCAGTTCGTAATAATAAACTTTTATTGTTATCAGAAGTGTCAAAATCAAGAGAATCATTATCTATATTTTTTTTGATATATAAGTTTCATTAAATTCATAAATATTTGAGTCCGAACTTGTTTCAAGTAATACAGATATATCTTCTTCTGTGCATCTTTTAAGCATAGCCATTTTATTTAAATTCCAATTCATTAATACCGTGATACTTTTGAAGTAATTGTTCTATTTGCTTTTCTAAATCAATTGTATTTTGATTAACCTAAATAATAAATTTTTAGTAAAAATACATTGTACTTTATATTTTATATTTCACAAAATAAAAATTAGGACTTGCGCAATGAAGGAAATATTAAGAATAGGAATAAATATTAAATTTTATAAAAATTCAGAATAAAAATTAAATGTAATGCAAAATGAATACAAATATAAGATTATATTTTATACTTATAATTATTTAAGTATATGATTATATTTTATACTTATTTATATTCATTGTGCATTACATCTAATTTTTATTCTGAACTTTTGGTTTCCAAAATTTAATATTTATTCCTGTTCTTAATATTTGTTCCGATGTTTGCAGATCCTTATTTGTCTTATTACTTATAATTATTAAAAAAAATAATTACAAAAAATAATTTTATCGTTTTTCTTTTTATGTTTTAGATTGTTACTTCTCTTACCGTAATTAACACAACCAAACTTCTATATTAACTAAAAGTCGCGGTTTGACTGTGAGTGGATAGGACGTCTTTTGTCCCCACACGAATTTTTGTATTGCGTCAGTGTCGGTCCACAATAGATGATTTAACCTTTAAGAAGTAAGAAATTGACCAATTATAATCGAATATGAAAAGAATAATCGACTATGATTGGTCAATTTCTTACTTCTTAAAGCTTAAATCACCTATTGTGGACCGACACTTCTATAGCCCGTTGGAGACACGCAGTCAGGGATGTAACCATAAGAAATGGGCAAATCATAGTTGAAGAATAGAAGAATAATCGACTATGATTCATCAATTTCTTATGGCTTAAAGTTTAAATTAAAACCTATTGTACCGAGACCGAGACCGAGACTTAAGGGTACGGTCAAAGGCTTATTACAAATGCTTTGAAACATTTTTTGATTAGTGCATTAGTAAAATTCTTTGTTTTGATTGAACAATCAAACGCTTCAAAGCATTTGTAGTGTTACATTGACGTAGCCTAAATCTTGTATCAGTTTTCTGCCACTCCGAAGATTTGTGGATCGAAGCGAGATTGAAGTGAGTGCAATTTGTCGCGTTTCCATTGATTCAAATCTGGTTCTACGTCATATTAGGAACGAATTAAGACATCAATGAAAACTAGACTATTGTGTATCCTTTTTCGATGTAACTAGGAATGGAGTCTCTAAAGTAAGGCTGGATCCTCATGCAGACATCGGTATTTTGACAGCGAGCGCTGATTGGTGAAAAACGGATAATAGGGGTTAAATAGTAAAAATTCATTCGTTTTAGCCCTATTACTCATTTTTTACCAATCAACATCTGTATCAAAGCGTTGGTAGAAACTAGAGACCCTTTAGTAAGAATCTGGTCATCAGAAACTCGATTTTGAAGCGTGTTGATTGGTCCGCCATTTTTTCTCTAATTTCAAAGAGGGTAGCTTCAGCGCAAGCGTATGAAATGATGGAACATACATAATTTCAAAAAAACTTACAAAACATATATCGGTTCGAATATTATTCAAGCAGATTTTTCGTAGATTATGACACAATTCTTTTTCTTTAATAAAATCTTAATAAAATTATTTTTAGATTTGTAACGTATGTCTTTATAGAAATCGAATGCTGAAAGGTAGTGATTGATTACTCAACTTAAATATTAAAAGCAATATTATTTTGTGCTTTTAATATTCAAAATAAGTAATTTCTAATATTATATTGGCCAATAATTACATTTTTATAATAGTGATGTAACATATTAAGTATACAAAAAAGTTCTGAGCTTTAGATTTTATACAACCGAAATAACAATTTAAATTTTATATATCTTCCCGCCCTTTTGCGGTTTTAAAGCATTGACATTTGACCTTCTAAAATGCCATACAGTTTGGCGTTTGATGCACATAATATCAAAAAACAGTAGTGTTCACGATGGCAATAACAAAAGAGCATATTCGATTTTCCATCCACTTCGCGTTTCATCTGAAGAAAAATGCTGCTGAAGCCACAATGATTTGTGCTATAGAGAGAACGCTGTAAGTCATACTACATGTAAAAGATAGTATCAAAAATTTCGCTAAGGAGATTTCAGTCTTGAAGATGAACCGCGTGCTGGACGCTCTCAAAAGATTAAAACGGACGAATTGCAAGCACTGCTGGAATATAAACTCTGCGCAAACTGAAAAGGAGCTTGCAGAACAGCTTGGCGTTATGCAGCAAACCATTTCCGTACGTTTACATACGATGGGAAAGGTTTAGAAGGAAGGCAGATGGGTTCCGCATGAATTGTCCGAAGACAACAAAAATCGTCGGCGTGACACTGCACTCACTTTGCTTTCAAAGTCCCGGAAAAAAAATTTTCTGCACAAAATCGTTACAGGCGATGAAAAGTGGATTCTTTATGATAACCCTAAACGTAGAAAATCATGGGTTGACACTGGTCAACTTTCGACATCGACGCCAAAGCCCAATATCCATGCCAAGAAGGTTTTGCTCTGTATCTGGTAGGATTGGAAAGGTGTATTGTATTACGAGTTGTTACAACCGGGTGAAACAATCACGGCAGACCGCTACCAACAACAATTGACCAATTTGAGCGCATTAAAAGAAAATTTACTGGCCAAGGACGTCGTAAAGTGATCTTGTTTCATGACAATGTTCGACTACATGTTGCGAAAGCGACTCAAGACCATATCTTTGCGTTAGACTGGGAACTTCTCCCGCACGCGGCGTGCCCAGACATGGCGCCTTTCGATTACTACCTATTCTGGTCGCTGCAGCATCATTTGGCTGACACACATTTCGTGAGATTTGAAGAGATACGAAAATGCATTGATGACTTTATCGCTTCGAAGCCGATGAGCTTCTATCGTCAAGGAATTCGCAAGCTACCCGAAAGATGGCAAAAGATTGTTGATGCAAACGAGGAATATTTCGCTGATTAATATTTTTTTGTTTGTTTTTGAATAAAGATTGAATTTTACAAAAAAAAGCTCAGAACTTTTTTGTACACCTAATATATAAAAATATAAAGAGTACAAATTTATTTAAAAAGTAAATATTAATTAATAATAGTATGCCATAGTTTTACTACTAAAAACTTTATTTTTTAATCGTCCTTTCACGGTAGAGTTAAAACAATTAGATACGCAGCAACCAGGCATTTCCTATAAAATTCATGTAATAATTTGTAATAAACATTGCTTATAAGTTAAAAAATAACGCAAAAATGATACCTCATTATGGATGTAGAAAACTATTGTTAAATTAGAAAACTATTGTTAAACTACAGAAAACTATTATATTATATATTTTTTATTACTTATTGTCACAATGTTATAAAGAACACATATAATGCATTAATAAAAATTTAATGTTTAATCTATGAAAATAAGTTATTTGAAAAAATGTTTTATTAATAGTTTGGTGGAAAAAGCATACTCAGCATTTTTGAAACGGGGACATCCCTGGGCCACAAAGATCAACGGCTCGGCCTCGAGCGATAATGAGGAGACAATAGGTGTCGTCTTGGAAATCGCCTGAAATGTGCATTTTGTTGCGAGCACTGCAATAGGGACTCTAATCATAACCTGCATAAATGTCGAAAATGTTTCTTTGGAAATTCAAGACTGTAGTAATAAAATATATAATTTTGTAATAACAAAAGATATTTACGATTTAGCTCATAATAATAAGCATTATAATAATATTATTGTAGTAATAAAATTTTTGTCATAATTAATATTTTCAAAACTTTCATATGCAGAAAAGTTTTTGATTAAGCAGAAACAAAAATATCCTGATTTACGGTCTTGAATTTCCAAATAAAACATCTTAGACATTTTTGCAGGTTATGATTAGAGACATTACAATCAGAGACTGGCCACTTTTGATTAGTTCGCCATCTTTTGGCTATTCCCATTTATTTTCAAATACATTAACTACATTAACCTTAAGTTGTAATATTATACTTTAAAAACATAAGCGTTTTAAAGGTAATAAAATGTATATATTTATAAAATTTTATTTTACATAATTATATTACTAATTTATTAATATGTATCCTTTAATTTTAACGATTTTAAATTTATTTATTTTTTTTTGCTTTTTTATCTTTTTTAACACAAAAGCAAAAATTAATATAATACTATTACACTACTCTTATAGAGACACTACAATCAGAGACTGGCCACGACTCTGATCCGCCATATTTTGGCTAAATCCTACGAGAAAGAAAGAAATATATACCATCTCACTTTAACCAATAACATGTTTTAATTAATTGTGATAAATCAATATAAAAAATGGGTGGATGTTCATTTTTTTACTTAAATTTTATTTTATATTGTAATAAAGTTTGTTTATAATAATAATAAATATGTATAATAATCCTTTCTAAAAAAAAGGCATGACATCGATACTTGCAAATTTCGAAATTTTTTTGAAATTTATTGTTGACGCTTTTCCGCGATGAATTCTCTCGCTGCCGTCCCGAGATGGCGTAGAACGGTTAATGAAATTTGGGAAGAGATATCTAGTGTATTTATGTTCAATGGCGATACTGGATACTATATTTTCGGATTGGAACCCGCGACCGAGCGGAAATCGTGGGGAAATATTTTGTTAATATAATAATTGGGATATGATATTGTATTGTAAAGTTATGATTGTTGGTATAATTGATTGTGAAATTATGATTCAAAATTATTTAATATAATAGAAAGAAATGATTTCTTGGATTTGAAAGATATCTATTAGATTCGGAAAAAATTAACGGAGACCGACTGGATTTGAACTCGGGATCCCTCGTCTACCAATCCGACACTTAGTCTGCACGACCACGACGGCTCCTCTCTGTTAGTGTTTATATTCCGAATCTCTTTCATGACCGCTTACGGTCGTCTAATTCTTACAGATTATTGTAAAATATTAAATGTAACACGAATAAATAGTTATATTAAAATGATAATAATAAAGAAAACAATAATAATAATAATATAATAATAGTAATGAAAGTATTGTTACGGCCGTGCGGTGTTCCGTTCGGCGCTGCTGAAATTAATCAATATCAATCGATAAGAGTTTGAATAGAGGATCGGCCCTTGGTAACGCGTCGTTCTCCGACTGTTTTTATAGATTTCACGACCAGATTCCGCGGTGGCCGGACGCGTTTTTGTACCGTTGTACCGTTGGTTTAATAAAGAGCGAGCTTTTCTTTAAACAGTGTTCTTCCTTTCCGAAAGCGCTCCGCCGAGTATCGCGATCTCGGGAAATAACGCCGCGAACGCGACAGTATTAATGAGAATTATATCGTGAAATATAATGATGAATAAAATAATGCCATAATATCAGAAATACAGGTTTACGTATATATGAATATTTGATTGATGCAAAAGATGAGGGTGGTATAAACTTAATTATATATGAAATGGAAATGCAAATCAGAAAATATTAAATAGGAATGAT